AAAAAAAAAAAAATGATTTGTCCCTGGGAGGAAGAGAAATAGTCTTAATATATATTCTATCTTGTGACTTTTCATTCACTCTAGTTATCTTTACCCAGAAAAAATATTGGGGGGGGGGGGGTCACTTATTTAAATTATGAATTTCTAAGATTAGTAGGTCTGAAAATTGTGGGACTTAAGTATTCATATTATTTGAAAATAGAATCTTTTCTTGTGAATTAATTTGATATTTACCCCCAAAAAATCTTAAGGAACTCTAAAGAGAAAAAAATCCAAAGCTGACAACCACTGTACATTTGAAATATTTCTTTGTCTTAAAGAAGGTCGCTGGGGGAAAAAATGATGCTCATTTTCATAAACGGTTGGGTCTTAAATGAATCCGACCTATGCTAAATCCAACTTTTCTCAAGCAATTTCTCTGTCTTTTGTTGAGAAAGCGGCCATGATTTATTTGTCATAGAAACTCGTTTACCTACAAGGAGCTGCCTGCTTGTGTCTGGAGAGAGATGAAAAAGGAAACAAACAGGCAAGGTAACCCCAAAGATAGTTGTAATTCTGAGGACCTGTTTTTTGGTAGTGTTAGCCACATTGAATAAAGGCATTGTGGTTGCAGAGAGAGCTTGAAGTGTTGAAACAAGGACTCGACTTCAGCTCAAGTTCTGTTTGGCATCATTATTTTTTAAAGCCGGTTTAGAGCAGACATTTATTGGAGCTAGTAAACTCAGCTGTTGTTAAGCTCTTCCCCACCCCCAGATCCCGTAAACCAAAGAGAAAATTCCAGCTCAGCCTTGCCTAATGCCGCACTACTGAAGGAAGTATGCAGGCATGATTGGATTCTTGTAAAGGATGTAACTGTTTAGAAATAAGCATGAAAACTTCCATGTTGTCACCTAAGCAAATGTCCGGTTCTTTTTCCTTTTCTGGGGCTGGTCACTCTTCAGGGAAGACTAAAGAGATTTGGGATTTCTTTTGCTGGAGGAACAAACCTCTCCCTCCCCTCTTCTGAAGCTCTTCATGCCAGCCTGTCTTCCAGGTTCAAGTGGCCAGCATCTGATCCACAGAGGGACACAGAATGAAAGGAAGGTTCTCAACCACTCTAGGAATGTATAGGAGACTGCTGTAAGAATTCACTGCAACCTCCAGGAAGGGCCCCACGCAGTACAGTAAATATACAATTTGTACCTCCTCTGCCACCAGCAGACAAGGCCCAGGCGGTTCCTGCGGCCTTTGTCCCGGGAAGTTGCTAGACCCTGGGGACCGGGGGCTGACTGGGGCTTGTGCCTGCGCACGGATCTGGCAGATAGGCCTTTTGTAACGATTTAGAACATGTGAAAACTCCCGCTTCTGTGTTCGATCAAGGTGGCCCCCTGCTGAAGGTAAAGTCAGGCAGGCTCAGTTTGGGAAGTTTGCAGGTCACTTTCCTCCTCCCTCCGGAGATGGCAGGTCACCTCAGGGAACCACCGCCACCCCCACCGCGCCTGGCCGGGTCCTGAGATTAGCACTAATAGCCATTAATACCACCCTCTGCGGCTCAAAGTCCAGGCGGCCTCCGCAGGCGTCCGCCATTGCCCGGGCCTCGAGACTGTCCTCTGTGTCCTGGGTGGAGGGCGGTGAGGATGCAGATCGCGCGTGTGAAACCCTTGGAGCTTCTTCCCTCCGTGGAAACCAAGATCTGCCTCCGAGTGGTTCAGAAAAGAGAGGTGTGGGGTGATGGTCTCCCAGAGTCCAGGCAGTCTTGAGAAGATGGAAGGGAAGAGGGTTCCCAGGGGTTCCGGGAGTACCAATCCCCAGAGGGATAAGCAGTGTGGGGTACTGGGCATCAGGGTGCCCGGGCCAGTGAGGGGGGTGGGGGGTAGGGGGATATGAGCTAGTGAGGTCAGAGGAAGGAGGCGGGCCGCGCCCATCCCTATCCCCTGCCACTGCCCAGGCATGAGTGTAGCGGGTAGCCTGGCTCCGGTGGAGGAGGCTTCTGCCTGGAGCGCTGCTCCGGGACCAAGTCCCTAAGGCGGCGGTGCGGGGCGGTGGGAGGCTTAGGCCGGGCCAACATTGCCCTCTAACGGGGACTGCGGGAGAGGAGCTGCTGCACTGCCGCTTCCCACTCTGCGCCTGAGCACCTGGGCAGCCCGGCACCCAGAGGTCAGTATTAAATCTGCGCTCGCTCGCTGAGCTAATGCCCGTGCGATAGCGCCTGCTGATGGATAACCCCGGACTGCCCTCTTCCGCGGTGTTATCCCGGATTCTTCCCTGCTCTGGCCGCATCCTGCCTGATATTTTTTTTAACAATTACCCAACCACTGTGCTACAATTTATTTTTATTTTTTTTTTTTGAGAAAATACAAAAACAAGAATCTTAATAACAATGAGTTGAGTTGGAGAAGTTAAATGGTGAGACTTTCACTATTTTCCATTTTAAAATCTCATCATTATTGTAATGGCTTACCTGAGAATGGTTGCCAAATACTTCCCCTGAATACCTTGGAAAGAACTTGGCATGTGGCTGCTTTTCGCTGTCTGGGAACCCTGGAACAATACCCAAATCAGCTTTGGTGCCACACTGAGTCCCGCCTGTCCACATGAGTTACTGATGTCTTCTGGGGTTATTCAGGACTGGGTGTTTGTGATACAGTTGACAACTGGGGAGATAGAGTGATGAAGGGAGTACTCTCTGGGCTCTGGGGTACCTGCTGCAGATGTTTCCCTGGGAGAAAGGGGAAAGACATGGGGCACTCGGAACCAGCTGCTGCTGAGAAGCCTGACTTGGTCCCAGCCGTCCTGTGATCTGGAAACCAGAACATGGCAAGGACTGCCACCCACCTCAACCAGAAACCCTGCCCTCCCCAGTCTCCACCAGCCCTGTTTTCATAGATGCTCCACTCCCTTCAGGACGCTGGGTACTTTGCATCCTCAACCCTTCATCCTCTAGAGAAGCAGGCCAGTGATTGAGAACCTTCCATTCGGAGGTCGCAAGGAGCTCTGGTAGCGTAGTGGTTACGAATCAGGCTGCGAACCTTAAGGTCAGCGGTTCGAAACTACCAGCCACTCCGCGGGAGAAAGATGAGGCTTTCTACTCCCGTAAGGATTTACACCCTCGGAAACCCTGTACAGGGTCGCTATGGGTCGGAACCGACTCGACGGCACTTAACAACAACAACAACATTCGGAGGTCGCAGGGATGATAGATCTGGCCTGGGTCTTTCCTCAGCTTCCCAACCAGGCCTCTGGGGGCGCATGCAGACCTTGGAAGCCCCGTGGTCCGTATTATCTCATTGGGGACTGACGACTAACATATGGGCCAAGGTGGTCCATAGAGGATTATCCTAAACAAATTGCACCCCTGCCCTATGTTTCTGGATTAAGATTTGCCCGCCCTTGATGTCAACCCTATTCACTTCAGAAGTCCCATTCGGAGGTCCTGGTCTTCATAGAGGGCCGGGGGTTCTGAGGCAGGGTCTGACAGAGGTACTAGAGACCCAGGCCTACAATGCCCATTCCCCAGGCTCTGTCACTGACAACTCTTGCCATGCCCCACTTTCTGGATAGAGTTTTCTTAATCTCGCCCGCCACATCAACTTTCCAAAGCAGACTTTGCTTTTCTAAGAGATACATCGGCACGTTAGAGTTGACATGAGTCAAAAATGTGCTGCTCAGAGCACTGAACAAAACATTCCAAATTAAGTTCCCCAAGACCTCCGGACTTGCTCTCCATCTGTAGACTCTGTTCTGAGGCCAGCACATACCTCCCTTCCACCGTCCCTCACCGATGGCCCCTTGTACTAGGCCAGCTTATGGCCACCTTCAAATCTAAAAAAAAAAAAAAAATTTATTGCCCTTAAGGGAAGTCCAACTCACAGCAATTGGATAGGACAGAGTAAGGCTGTTCCATGGGATTTCCAAGGCTGTAAATCTTTACAGGAATATACTGTAGCATCTTTCTCCTACAGAACAGCTGGTAGTTTTGAATCAGCTTGTAGTTAGCAGCCCAATGCCTAACCCACAGTGCCACCAAGGCTCCTATGACCACCTTTAATAAAGGTCTAAGAACTGCAAACCACAAGATGCGCAACTCAAGCCTACCACTCACTCTGCAGTAGAAAGATGAGGCTTCCTGCTCGTATAAAAATTTTAAAAGCCTTGGAAACCCTATACAGGATCACTATGAGTCAGAACCAACTCGAAGGTACTAACAACAGGGTTCATTCATGACCCTCCTAGACACCAAGGCCACCCCCAAAGGAGCAAAAAGTGTCTCACTTGCATACATGCTAATGAAAGAAACTCAAGAAAAAGCCCAGGCCTCACTTCTTATAAAAAGAATCATTTTCATCAATGCCCAACCCCCACCCCCAGAACATATCCAAGGTCTGCAGGTAGCATACTGTGTGGTGCTGAGGGTTAATGCGCCAGACTGCAAAGCCGTTTGAACTGCAAGGTCGGCAGTTCAAGCTCACCAGCCGCTCCTAGGAAATCCTGTACAGGGTTGCTATGGGTCGGAACCGACTCGACGGCACTTAACAACAACAATAGCCTAAAGGTTGTCAGTTCAAACTTACCCAGTGGTGCCATGAAAGAAGGCTCTGGCAATCGGCTTCGGTAAAGATTGAAGCCAAGAAAGCCCTATGGAGCAATTCCCATCTGTAACACGAGCTCGCCATGAGTTTGGACATGATTCCATGGCAAAGGCTGCTTGTTTGCTTATTTGAAAGGAGGACATACCCTGATGATCAGAAATTTAGTCGCAAATTCTCGCCTATTTGATGCTGTGCACCTTCACAATTATCAAAAACTGTTTTAATATAATTTAAAGGAAATTTCAGTCCTGTCGAGCATATTCTGCAGATGTTCCAGAGGGGGCGCCTCTTAGTGATAATTAGAAGGCAACTCAAGTGACCCTTCTGGGGCTAGCCTCTCCAATTAGCAGCGTCCACAGGGTGCAGGGCTGACTGCTCACCAGCAACCACCACTACAGACACTTACGAGACCTCTCTGCTTTCTCATCCTAGATATATTATAAAGTCATTAAGGACATTGAGCCAGGCGAGGAGCTGCTGGTGCACATGAAGGAAGGCACCTACTCCCTAGGGACGATGCCGCCCAGTCTGGATGGTAAGCCCCCACCGAGGCTGCCTCCCCTGGCAAGGGAGCAGAGGCCACCCCAGAAGTGCCCGGGAACCCCCCAGCCCCTCATCCCTCCACACTATGTAACGAGGGCTGGCATCTCACCTCTGTACAACTGTTGCCTTTGGAAACAGTTACTATCTATCAGCTCCACATAACCTACTCCTGTTCCTTCCTCAGGGTATCCAAGTCACATCCTGAATGTTAAACTAGGGCTTGAGTTGATGCTATGTTGAATTCGCTCTCTGTTGTGTTACAATCCCAGGTGTGTTTTCTATGCATAAACTGCATTATAGCTGTCATCAGTAGCATCATTGTTTGTTTTCCTCATTACTTAAAAAAAAAAAAAATCAACAAACCAGTTCTGTGACTCAAGCACCTCTGCTCTTCCAGAACTCTGTATCCCGTGACCAGCTTCATCTCATTTAAGAAAGCAATGTCTATCCAGAGTTCGAACCAAGTCCCAAAGAATCTGATGAGAGGGTGAAATGAGGGTTTGGGGCAGGGCAGAGGTTTCTCATCAAAGTACTGATATCATTCAGCTCTTCCAAGCAAACTTTTTGGGAAGCATTCTGCATTTTTTTGCCTCTCAGCTTGTCTCTAGGTTTTTGTCTTTCCCTCCACGTGAAAGATGGGAAGAGGTTTCTTTCGTCCTTCCTGCAGACCCCAATCTGTCTGAGAGGATACCTGAGAAATTCTAATGCCAAACAGACTCATTCTTTGTAAATGGGAGGGTTATTGGGTTGTTGTTTTTTTTCTTTTTTCCCCCTCACCCACGTTGTTAAGCCCTATATCCATTCACTTTTGGGGTCCTAGGGTAGTTTTTAAATCACCAAGGAAAGGTCACTGTCAAGCAAACGGCTCCAAGTTTTCTGGCCCAGAGTCTTCTTCACAAGTGAGTAGAAAAGCCTGTGCCCGCCGACTGCAGAGCTCACAATTCCTGCCCATGCTCAGTCTGGAAAAGGAGAGATAGTTTGTTCCTTTCTATCTTTCTCCTGTCCTCTAAACACACCATGGCTTAATAATTAATACCATTAACTACAAGTTTCTCTAAGGAACCACTTGAATTCCACGGCCAGGGAGTGGCCTGGGTTTAGTAGGGAGCTGGACGTTGAAGTTAGTAGGAAGCTTCAAGACCAGTCACACAGAGCTGTGCTTTGAGTCACCCTTTCAATGGCCAAGCATGGTCCCAGTAATTAATGATCTCTTTTAATCAACAGCAGTTCCATGGCCCTGGGTTTTCTTTTCCAAAAAGGAAATCGCCACAGAAAGACAATTTTACAAGCCCAGACCTATCCGTACTTTCACCTAAAGTTTGGTTTTAATTAGGCTGTTGAGAAAAGAAAAATAAATTGCTGAGAGCTGGATAGCAGGAGGAAAACTCTCGTTTCCCTTAAAATAATTGTCGAAAAGACCTATGAATCTTAGATAGCACATGAGAACACGGAAAGATAAATCGACTTAAGGAGCATGCTTGACCAGGAAATTTCATTTGTGTAATGAATCTCCATGCTTCCAAAGGGTTTTAAAACCTTGATTCCGAACATCAACCCCCGATATTAAATAACCCGGGTCTACATTTTCCTAATAATTTATCCAACATTTGTGGGCTAATTGCTTTCCACACATAATAGTCCAACATCAAATATTTGACTTTTCATACTCTCTCCTGTCAAGATCTTTGCCTCCCCCCCAGCTAAACTCTGAATCGCACAGAAAGGAAATGCAAAAATGTTCCTCACTAAGATAATTATCATAAAAAAATCTTTTATCCCAGCCCGGGCTAAATGCAGCCAGCCCCTTATCACTGCAGGAATTTGGAGTAGGTTCTTGAGTTCCTTTGAGCTCCGAGCCTGGTAGATCAGCATGCAGATGCCACATAATTGTGTCTCCCCTCGGCTCTCTGAAGCCATTAGGCGCTGATTTATTTTTCTGTGGCATTCCTGCTCGGCCACGTGAGTGGCTGATGGAACTTTATAGACAGGCGAGGGAGGTGCAGGTTTGACAAACGTGAGACTTGCTTTGGTTTGATTTGGTTGGTTTGGAAGGAAGCTCCCCCACCCCCACCCCAGCCCATGCTCCCCACCACCAACCCCTCCAGATTTAGATGAAGAGAGTTCCTTTTGCAGCACAATATTTGTTCTTTTGTTGAAGCCGTTGCTGGGACCGATGTTCAGGTTGTTGTTGTTGTTGTTAAGTGCCACCAACACTTCCCAATCCTGCCCCATCCTCACAGTTGTCACTTTGTTTGAGGCCATTTTCACGGTCCCTGAGTCAGTCCATCTGGTTGAATGTCTTCCCCTTTTTCACAGACCCTCTACCAAGCATGAGAACGTAGGGGCTCTGTAGGATACACACTGGATTGTGAAACACAAGATTGGTGGTTTGAGCCCACCAAGCACCCTTTGGAAGAAAGATAAGGCTTTCTGCTCCCACAAAGATTTCCAGCCTCAGAAGCCCTGTACAGGGTCGCAATGAGTTGGAACAAAGTCGTCAGCACTTTACAACAGCTACCAAGCATGGTGTCCTTCTCCAAGGACTGTTGTTGTTGTTGTTAAGTACCATGGAGTCGGTTCCCTGCACAGGGTTTCCGAGGCTGTAAATTTTTACAGGAGCAGAACGCCTCAACTTTCACCCGCGGAACTGCTGGTCGTTTCAAACTGCTGACCTTGAAGTTAGCAGCCCGATTTGTAACCACTACACTACCAACATGTCCAAAGTATGTGAGACAGCCAGGTAGCCAGGAAGAGACAGGGCCCTTTTCTGTCAACAGAGAAGCAACCTCACCCTGCAATTCAAGCATGGTCTTCAATTCTGCAGCTCCATGAAGAAAGCTAATTCTCATGTCCACACACGTGTTTCCAGGCAGAGGGCAGCTGCTTTCTGATTCATTTGCTCTTAAGGTTTTCTGAGGCAACCTAGTGATACAATGATTAAGCACTAGACTACACACTGAAAAGTCAACACTTCAAACCCAGCCAGCCACTCCCTTTGAAAAAAGATCCGGCAATTTGCTTCAGTAAAGAAGCATTCACCCTTGGACACCCTATGGGGAGTTTCTACTTTGTCCTCTAGGGCCACTGTGTGTTGGAATCAGCTCAACAGCACACAAGAACAGTGACTTTTTATTTAGTTTTAGTTCATTCAGTTGTGAGGGGGAGACTTTCTCTTTTGTGGGAACTTCTTGCTTTTATGAGAAAAGAAAGGAAATGATTTCCATTCAAATGGTTTTTCTTTTTAGAAAGGTTCATGAAAACAAAAATATATATATATACATATATAAGGAGCTCTGTAGTGTAGTGGTTACAAATTGGGCTGTGAACCACAAGGTCAGCAGTTCAGAACTTCCAGCTGTTCCGCAGGAGAAAGATGAGGCTTTCTGCTCCCGTAAAGATTTACAGCCTCGGAAACCCTGTACAGGGTAGCTATGAGTCGGAACCGACTCCATGGTACTTAACAGCAACATATGTGTGTGTGTGTATATATATATATATTGTTGTTGTTGTTAAGTGCCATCGAGTCGGTTCCGACCCATAGCGACCCTGTACAGGGTTTCCGAGGGTGTAAATCTTTACAGGAGCAGAAAGCCTCATCTTTCTCCCACAGAACAGCTGGTAGTTTCAAACCGCTGACCGTAAGATTAGCAGCCCAATTCGCAACCACTACGCTACCAGAGCTTATATATAAATATATATACACACACACACATCTGGCTTGAACAGAAACCTAAATGAATGGTGGTTGTTGTTGTTGTTATTGTTGTTAAGAGCTGTCGAGTTAATTCCAACTCATAGTGACCCAAAGAAGCTCTCTGATAACCTAGTGATTACGAGTTGGGCTACTACTCTCAAGGTCAGCAGTTCAAAACTACCAGTCATTCCACTGGAGGCTTTCTGCTCCCATAAAGATTTACAGCCTTGGAAACCCTGTGCAGGGTCGCAGGAAGTGGGAACCGATTTCACAGCACATAGCCACAACCACCACCACCATCACCATAGCGACCCTGTAGAGGGTTTCCGTGGAGAGACTGGTGGGTTTGGCCAACCTTGCGATTCAAATGGAACTTGAAGTCCCATGCATGAAAACAGATGGAGGTGTTATGAAGAGGGAACAAGTGACCCCAATGTGGGAAGCTCAGAACTTGACTTGAGAGCATGTTGTGTTGGAGATCTTATGTGGCAGTAAGAGGCACCATAAACTAAGTGGGGAATTAGATGACTCTGAATACTGTTACTCATCCATATAAAATTATTGTTGTTGTTGTTGTTATGTGCCATGGAGTCGGTTCCAACTCATAGCGACCCAGTACAGGGTTTCCGAGGCTGTAAATCTTTACAGGAGCAGAAAGCCTCATCTTTCTCCCACAGAACAGCTGGTAGTTTCAAACTGCTGACCGTGAGATTAGCAGCCCAATTTGCAACCACTACGCTACCAGAGCTCCTTTCTATATAAAATGGTTGTGTTGTTTAGATAAGTAGTAAGTAAAGCCATGGGAATGTATAGTATAGGGAACAAAGCAGACAGATGGGTAAATACAATGTGATACGGTAGATGATGTCATGTTATATTATGATATAATGTAACAATCTAGTATTACAGAAGCCCTGGTGATACAATTAAGCTCTCAGCTTTAACAGCTAAAATTAGTGAAACATTTAAGTGCTTGGTCCAAACCTCCCAACCACTCTGTGTGAGAAAAAATGCGATATGACATTCTGCTCCCACAAAGATTGCAGCCTAGAAAACGTGAGGGGCAGTTGGTTCTACTGTGTCCTATAGGGTTGGTGTGAGTCCGAATTAACTCACAGGCATGTAGCAAAAATTGTTATTGTTAAGTGCCATCTAGTTGATTCCAACTCACAGCAACCCTGTATAGGGTTTCCGAGGAGAGAGTGGTGAGTTAGAACTGCCAACCTTGAAGTCCAGTGCTTATCCTAGAACTAAAAAATAATACATATTTTAAAATGGCATGGTTGTTGTTGTCAGGT